TTTAAGACTGTATCCCATCTCTGTAACAACCATCTTGTGAACGTAAAAGGAAAAAACCCGTGTATCTACTGATCACCCTTGTCCAAAAGGGCTCCTAAAAACGTTACCTGTTAACAGACCTGATGTTATATTACTCTTTTGTCAACTACTGAAGGCAGTTTCCAGTACACCTTTGCTATATTTTTCCTACTTAATACCAAGATTTATAAAACATGAGAATGACATACAAACTGATAGTTTAAAAATCCTAGCAGCTCTGAATATCACTTCATTGATTCTTCTCATCTTTCCACATTTCAACTTACCTCAGATCCTGAGGAAATCTGACTTTGGCCTGGCTGATTCGGAAGGTGACCAGCACTTCTCTCTGTAATAGAATCCACTGCATTGTCATCCTGTTCAACCATTTCCATGGTCATCAGTCTAAAAGTAAGTACATACACATTTAAATACCTCAGTACAGGCAGATATATCAGGCAGCTAGGGAGAGTAATTCCAAACTATTTTATACTTCAAACAGACAGAAAATAAATATGTTTCTGTCAAACTGAAGTCCTTTCTTCATTCCCCTGCATTAAAATATTCACTCATATAGCCAGAAGCTCTAAAACAAGTATTTTGGAAAGCTGCAGGGAGTTCTGGAGATGGTTCTCAGGGAGGGACAAGCAGAGTCCCAGGGTCACATGCAGTGCTGGCAGTACTGCCCACAGAAGGTCCCTTCAGTCCCAAGCTGTCCAGCAGCCATGGGCTGCTACAGCCCTCTTGAACCTTCCAAGATACCTATTCCCTGCAAGCGTCTACGCTTGAGTTGTCTGTAAATTATTCACGGCTCAAGAGTCACAATTCTTCTCACTTTAAAGGTTTAAAAGTAGGGTAGATTTCATTGAAAAATAAGCAACTTGCTGACCCTCAATTTAAACTAAGAGTTTAAACTTCATAGAGATAACTTCCAAATCTGCTAAATATCCGCCATATAAAAATGCAATTACCTGACTCCTTTTCGATATTTCTTGGCACACTTAGTCATAATGGAAGGTGTGAGTTTTAAAACAAGAGCTTGGATCTCTTCGGCTCCCTTTCTCTCCTACCAAACCCTGCACTGAAGGTGCAACATTGAACAGGTGATGTCAAACATTGCCATGGTAACAGGTCAGTTTACAAACAGAACAGAGACAGGATAGTGTCAGGCAGAGGCAGGCAGGATGCCCTGCAGGCATGCTCCCACCTACACCCTACTTGCACAACCAATTGACAGCCACAAAAGGAAGACATTATGTTAGTTGAGGTATTTAAGAGGCAGCAAATCTCGGTCCCCCAGGTTCAGTTTCTGTAACTAGGGGACGCCAGGCCTGACTGAAGTCAAAGTTCAATTCTTTCAACTGGCTCATAGTTACTTTGGTTTCTTCTCAGGACTTACACTGAGAGCTGCAAGTCAAGAACTGCTACCCACCTGACTCTGAGTCTCTGGAATTTAGTACTACAAGCTGTAAGTTAACTGCATTGAATCAAATTAAATGTAAACAAAACTCCTTTTGCTGCACTATTTTACAGAACATTCCACAGTCTTTGAAGAGAATAAATTTTATTGTTTCTTTAAAAATCAAATTTTTGCCCAAAATATAGGCATGAAAATATGAAAAGATGCAGAGAAGCATATTTCGAGCTCATATGCCTTCAATGGTACTGTACCGACAAGACTTAACAGTACTACAGCTAAAGGTAGCCAAGCTGCAAAACAATTCAATATTTAATTAGTTAACACGAGTATTTCTGCTCAGAGAAGTTATGTACCCTATGCCAGTATTAATTCAGATTAGAATCATAGGGAGCTATTTTACACCTAAAATTTTTCTACATTTTTATCTTGCTAGTTATGACTAATTATCTTTCTCTTTACCTACAATTTTATTAAATATCTACTGAAATTCACCAAACTCTAACAACTCTGAGGAAAATGTTGTCACCACACTTTTCACCATAAGTTTCTATAAGAAGATGTTATTTAATTAAACTATTCTTGTTTTATATATGTACAATATAATAACAATAATAAAGTAGGAAAGAAAGTTCTTCCTTTGTAAACAAGGGCCACCCATGAAGTGTCAAATATGAAAGGTCTATATGGTTCATGAAGAATAAGCTTCAGAATAGCTCACACACCACGAAAGATTAATGCATAGGTACTGGCAACATATTCATTGTAATCTCTTCCTGAAGATAGGAATATAGTCAGAAATAATTCACTTTTTGAAGGCCCTGAAGTATTTTTGCATCCAGAGCCATCCGTCACAGAAAACCTACTGTTGAAAAAAACACCAAAAACAAACAACAAAATACGCAAGTACTTTTCTTCCCACTGAATGCATTTCATAGAATTTTTACCCAGAAAGAGCCATTTTTCATCATGGAAAAGATTTTGTTACTAATTTTTAGCTTAATTTCTCACTGATTGCAGAACAGCATAAAAATGTACTTATTTCTACTAATTTATCAGGATTTTTCTCCCCAAGACTCTTCATCTGCAATGCTGCACTAAGTTAGCAAAAAGCTACAAAAAAAACATCAGTGCAGCAGAAAATCACACAATGTTACTCCTCCTATTTTGCAAAATGGAATACAGAGAAAGGGGTATATTTTTTGATTCTTTAATTAGAAAAACAACAGCAAGAACTATACATGTATACAAGAACTGACAAACATAATTAAGATTTATGATATAAATGGAAAACTCTAGAATTCATATATATTTTCCATCTAGAATTGTGTATATTCTGATTTGTAATACAAATTATTGCTTAATTGAAAACTTTTGCAGGGTGGAGTAAAGTCTGAAAATTTGCCATAAAAAGCAATCACTTCTCTGAAACGCAGCAAAATACCTTTCCTAAATAAGTTCAAACCTGCTTCTTTTTGACAACCTCTGTGACCAAATAGTGACTTGACTTAAAACCACATCCAAATATAAAGATTCAATCACAGCCTAAAAAAAAAAAAAAAAAAAAAAAAAAAAAAAAAAAAAAAGAAAAATAAGTATTTGAGTAATTTTAAAAGGTACACGAGCTATCTTGGCATAAAATTTCAGTGAGAAAGATGACTTAAGACAAACTGTAGCACATTAGTATCACAATTCAGACATGTTACGAGATTAGGAACCTTCGATAGACATAACCATGGGATCACTGAACTGGCAGGAGCAGGTCAGCTGTGGTCATTTGAACCGACAGGGTCAGCGGTGGCACAGTCACACTGAGCTGAGCCAGGTCATGTGGGCTCGTACACAGCTCAAGACCAGGCATGCCAAGGAACTCCTGGATTTCAGACTCTTGTCACAGTCTTCAGAGCACTCTCATAACCTGAATTATACAGGGTTTTTATTTCCTGTACTATGTATTATGTCAACATGAATGCATCGAACTTTTTAATAAATACACAGAAAAAACAGTGAGCAATATTATAACTGTGCTTTTTCTGAAACATCAGTAATGAAGACTGTGGCATGAAACCATTACTAATCCAATTCAGAAAAGTTTCCACTCGTATCACACTAATCAGTCTGCATTGCAAGCAAATTCTAACATATTCATTGCTTTTAAGTTTTCAAGAAATAAAAACAGAATTTTCCATCAAGCCTTTAAAATCCTTTATAAAAGTCTATCAGTAGCAGTACACATCACACTTAAAAGTTTACATTACCTTCCTTTTATTTTTAAAGGAAAACTAAGCAAATAGTCTAAAGTAGGTGGTCTTGGGTCCTGCTTAGAATTATACAATGTTTTTCTTCATTGTATGACTAATTATATACATATTTCAGTCTAATAACTCAGTACTACTACAATTTTTTTCTTATATTTTTTATCTTAGTTGCTTACAAAGACTGAACAATAAATACTAGTCTGGATTTTCAAATTAATAAACAAGTTATACCTCTACACTCACATAAAAAGGGGACAAAAATGGCTTTCCATAATGTAAACAAAGATACCTGCTTCTTCCTACAACATTGCAAAGAGATCTTCAGGATCTGGCAGGAAGTTTAACTGTTACCCAACTAGCAACATTTCAACATATCTAAGCTCATGTTTACTGTAGTCACTGAGACTAATGGAAAGCAGGCCAGTAGCAGATAAACACTGATCAAGATAATGCATACAGTGGAAATCAAAAGCTTCTTCAACTGCAATCAGATGAACCACCCCTGACAGGAGAAATCTGACAGATGGAATCAGCTAGAGGAAACCAGAATTTTTTTCCTAGAAAATTCAAAGCAATTTACAGCTAAAGGTGTGAAATTTTTTATATTTTTGCCCACAGCTAAGAGATGGAGGATAGCATCCCTATTAAATAACTAATTGATATAATTAATTAATAATATAATTGGTGAAATTTTACTGCAAAAGCATATTACTACAGTATTTTACATAACTGGAAGTGTGTGACTATCTAAATAAATACCCAGAGACATTTTTAAAAACAACTTTTTTATTTCAACCATCCTTTATACATCAGGGAAGAAAACAGGGAAATATTGAGAGTGTAGGA